AAAGTGTCAGAAAAGGCTTGGTTTTTTTTTTTACCACAAGTTTTTGGAAAATGACAAAAAAAATTTTTTTTTTACACAAAATTGTCACTTAAATGATTTATTGCTCACACATGCCATGGATATATGTGGAATTACTCCCCAAAATACATTCTGCTTCTTCTCCCGAGTATGGGGATACCACATGTGAGAGACTTTTTGGCAGCCTAGCCAACAACAGGACCCCAAAATCCAAAAAGCACCTTCAGGCTTTTAACGGACTTCATTTCATTACATGTCCTGACTACCTATCACAGTTTTGGAGGCCCTGAAACACCAGGACAGCACTAGGATAGCACCAAACCTCCCAAATGACCCATTTTTGGAAAGTCGACACCCCAAACTATTTGCTGAGAGGCATGTTGAGTCAATAGAAGAATTTATTTTCTTACCAAACGTTTTTGGAAAATGACAAAAAATAATTTTTTTTTTACACAAAATTCTCATTCAAATGATTTATTACTCACACATGCCATCACTATATGTGGAATACATTCTGCTTCTTCAGGTGTTTAAAGGGCTTTATTTATTTATTTCCAGAAAGGGGTCATTTTGGGGGGTTTGGTGCTATCCTGGCATTTCAAGGCCTTCGAAACTGTGATAGGTAGTGAGGAAGTGTAATGAGGAAGTTACGCACCTTCAGGCTTTCAAAGTGGTCATTGGATTTCAGGCTTCTGCATGTGGCTAGGCTCCCAAAAAGTCTCACACATGTGGTATCCCCATACTCAGTAAAAGTAGCAGAATGTATTTTGGGGTGTAATTCCACATATAACCATGGCTTGTGTGAGCAATATATCATTTGAACCATGGCATATTGTAAAAGTAGCAGAATGTATTTTGGGGTGTAATTCCACATATATGGCTTGTGTGAGCAATATATCATTTGAATGACAATGTGTTAAAAAAAAAAGTTTTTGTCATATTCCAAAGACTTGTGGAAAAAAAATAAATCTTCCATGGACTCAATATGCATCTCAGCATTTAGCTTAGCGTGTCTACTTTCCAAAAAAGGGGTAATTTGGGAGTATTTGGAATGTCCTAGTATTTTAGCACCTCAAGAAATGTGATAGGCAGTCAGAAAGTAAAAGCTGTGTAAATTCCATTATCTATACTATAAGTTTGTAGATGCTACATCTTTCACACAAAGCAATCAATATACACTTATTGGGATTTTGTTTACCAATAACATGTAGCAGAATACATTTTGATCTAAATTTATGACGGACTTTGAGTTTACTATATATTTTTTATAGTCGAAAGTAAAAAAAATTGTTTTTTTTTTTCAAAAATTTGCTTATAGTGCAAAAAACGTTTGCTTATAGTGCAAAAAATAAAAAGCACACAGGAAAGCTCTATATGTGTGAAAAAAAATACATAACTTTTGTTTGGGTACAGCATTGCATGACTGTGCAATTACCAGTTGAAATAGTGCAGCGCTGTATAGCAAAAAGAGGCCTGGTCAGGAAGGGGGGTAAATCCACAGGGCAAGTAGTTAAAATAAGTTACAGTTCAGGTGTAAAAGATGTTTTTTGGAGTTCTTGTTTAAGTGGCAAACCCGTCGAAATATCTAAGAGACATCCAAAACTCAGGCAGATGAGTTTTGTATGTACATGGCACCAGATCTAAGAATACCATATCAGAAGAAAAGCACTACAGATTATGAGTCATATTTAACTCAATGAATTTATTCTTAACCTCCCCGGCGGTATGATTATTTCCGATTTTTTTGTGCTGAAAGCGTTACCATTTTTTTGCATGGAAATATGTAGTTTTTTATTGTAGGCTGTAATTTTTAGGAAATAACTCACTGAAATCTGTACGAACAAGAGTCTAGTAAACATTCCGGATATGATAAAATTTGAAACACGAAATCATAAATTATAATTTAATAAATAATCATAAAAAATAATAATATAATAAATTTAATTCAATAATATAATCAAACCAAAAACACTGAAATTTGAAATACAGAGGCAAATTCGCACATCGCTGAGCAAAATTGTTTTCAGTGTCTGATGACGAATTTTCCCACGAATCATTATCACTCAATTCTGCAAGTGGTTCTGATTTACTATCGCTGTTCTCTAGCTGGTCTAAAACCGCTTTTGACGTAAAGGGACGCTTTTTGGACGGACAAAGCACTCGGGACAAAATGTATGTGAAATGCATTGAAACAGCAATGTTTTACTATGTAATAATCATTTTAAAAAAAATGACATTTTTTAGAAATTTCAAATTTGTCGCCGGTTCCGGCGCCCGTACATCCCGACATCACAGGGACTGGAACACGGAAGCCGGCATCCGCCGGAGGAGATGGCCGGGGACGCTGCAGGGGACACATCGTGGGAGCGAAGGACAAGGTAAGTGCTGCAGGGACTACCTGAGCAACGCCGCATGGTAAGCCTGAGTGTAGCTCGGGGTTACCGCTCTTGGTACTCAAATTTTACCCCGAGCTACACTCAGGAAAACCGCTAAGGAGGTTAACCACTTAGTGGTGATCTCATTCTGAGGATGAAGATGACCACCCACAAATGAATTAAGACAATAGCAGCAAATAAAGTCCCATTGTATCCCCCTGCTACATTCTGTTTAAGTTAATGAAAACAACTTACTTCTCTTGTACACTTGCTGCATTTTTCTCATTCACAACACCAATGGGCTTAGACAGGTCCCTGAAGACAACTGGGTTGTTTAAATCCAGCTCCTCTGATGTATAATCTTGCAGCACCCATGGGAACTGAAAAAGAGAATCATCTCAAATTCTAACAAATCTACATAAAACAACGTTTTATATGTAATGTTATTTATATGTTTAAGGCTTCTTAAAAATAAGAAAAACTTGTCAGTTTTAAACATTGAATAATCATATTAAAAACTTACAACTGGGTACTGTGCAAGATCATTGTATGTTCTCCCAGCTATTGTGTTTACTTGAATGAGGTATTCAAAGTTTGAAATCTCTCTGTTCACCCATTTCTAAAGAGTAAAACAAATGAAAAAACAACTTAAGCAAAAAAGTCTGAAGTTTAGAAACTCTTTTCCCTTTTTCCTGGAATTCATTAAGGCACACAGGGTCAGAAGATATTCTGAGGCTAATGGAGCCTACAGGGGAATTGGACACTGGTTAACAGAAAACTATACATCAGCCAGGTATAATCCATCCTACTCCCACCATGCTTAAGTTTTGTGGAAAAGCAGTAGTGGGAGTGGACCATAAAGACACAGCAGGTAATTAGATACTCCCACGACACAGAATAAACATTTTAAAAACATCTGAACAAAACAAGCATAATTTCCACACCTGTTACTTATTTTTAACATGTCAAGATGTATTCTCCTCCTTCATATTATAGTTAATTGTATTACCTTGAGATCTGCCAGATATAGACTTAAGCAGGGTACATATGGGCCAAAAATCTGCTGGAAATTGTCGGTTCGGCAGGAACTGGCTGACTTTCCGCCTGTTTGTACAGCCTCATGACTAGCTTCTGTCGAACGGGGATGCTGGAAAACCAACATCTGATCAACGCTGGCAGCCATTGATCCGTGTGTCCTAGAGGGGGCAGCCCCCCTGTCAGAACACAATAGCTCGGTGGGGAGATCGCTGCTCTAACATCGGATGTTTCAGTATGTGATCTGTAGTTTTTTTTTTTTTTCGCTCAGCCCGCTGGGTTGAACGAATAAAAACTTTCTGTGCGTACCCAGCATTAGTTTTGGCCACTGGGGGATACAGTTCAGTTCAATTTAGCTTGGACATTTCCCACATTCATTTCAACAAGGCAGTGTTCCTAAAACAGAAGGTATTTGCACTACTTTCATCACAGATCCTAAGGTAAGGAGCTTATTCCTCTTTTTAACATAGTGAGCAAAGCCATGAAAGTTATTCCTTATGCACCTGTAGCCAAAAGTACATTCTGAACCGCTGGTCTCTAGTACAGATACAGCCTAATATCATAGAGCCATTTATGCCAAAATGCATACATCTGTTTAAGGATATCTGAACCAGTGGTTCTGCATATACATTTAGGAGCATAAAGGAATAATTTTCATGGTTCTTTCCACTATCCTAAAATGAGAAATAAACCCCTTATCTATTTTTTAAATCATTTGAAACTGAGGGCATGTAAGGTTGACAACCTGTAAAGCTGAATAAAACATTGGGGCAACAACAATTCTATTGATTAATGTCTAGTGCTAGCTAATAGGTCTACCTATAAACTTGCCAATCGACATCTACTGTATCTGCTTTGTAAAATTAATTTTAAAAAAATATATATGTAAAAGTGCCATTCACCTTATCTAAGACACTTAAAGAACCTGTCATGATGTATTTTACCCAAAACAAACAAGGATCCCACTGCTCGACTCCTAAAAGGAGTACTAGTTTTGAAGTAGGCATGTGACTGTGGTCCTGCACAGGTATCTGCTGCCCCAGAACTAGTACCAATTTCGGGAGCTGGACTCTGACAACCTTTGATGCTCAGTGGGAATCTTAGTTGTAATACGTATCATCAGTCCAGGTGGTACCATTTAAATAAACTGCCAAACACTGGAAGAGCAGAAGGGAGTATGCAATGCAATACTTTTTATGTAAATGTAAATAAGAAATGAATCCTAGCATTAGTCTTAGCAAAATTATTCTTACTTGTGTCAGACCAGAAGCCTTAAGCAGCTCCTGCGGTGACCGGGTCCCATATAGATTTGGAAGACGTAATGAAAGAATGCGGCTGTATACCTTATTCCTGACCTGAATGTAAAAAAAAAACGTTTGGTGAGCCAGAGCCAAATATTAACTGCTCTCAATAAAAGGGGCAGAGCTTTCCAACATATGCCCCCACATTTTTTCATTTAAAAAACTCAATGAAAAGCTTAAAAATGGAAAGCCTCAAATAACTCACCTCTTTTTTGAAATTCAAGAAGTAATTTGTTTGGTCAATAAGAAAGATTTCCAAGGCTGATCTCCTTAAGTTGTATCGACGCAAGTGAATCTCTCTGATCTGAGAAAGGAGCCACTTAAAATCATAACCAACACCTATCCAAAGAAGATTGGAAACCAATCAGATTAAGTCCACACCTTCTACATACTAAACACTTTTTACTATGTAACCAGAACTAGATCAAAAACATAAAAAAATGAACTACCTTATGAATGTTTGTTTTTCTCTCTATACCAGTCAGAAGAAATGTAACATCAGCTTGAAGCAGATTGGAACGAGGCCAACTGCAAGTCAGCTGTAGCTGTGAAGAAACTCAGAAGCATCTCAAACTGATTTTAAAGGTAAGCTAAATGCACCTGAAAGTATACTTATGCAGGCCATAGACGGTTAATTTATGAACCGAATTTTCGTCCGAAAGAATAATCGGCCGATATTCACACCGTTAGTGGGGCAATGTCATCGGCCGATTTTCGCGGTTCCTCATTTCTTTTATCGGTCGATAAACAAACTGTCTATTGCCGGCATTACCTATGCCAGCTGACACAGGCCCCTATAATTTTAGTTAAGGATATGATGTAACCCTTAACCTCTCTTTAAAAGCATTTACCACTTTTACACACTCTAAGGCCTAGTTCACACCAATGCGTTTTTTAGTGCTTTCTGCAGAAACGCACTACAGCCCATTTAGCATGGTTTCCTGGGGGACAGGTTCACCTCCATGCGTTTTTTCAGCTGCTGCGTTTTTGGAAAGGGTCAGGGACTTTTTTAAATGCAAAACGATCCCTTTATTTTTGGTTCAATAGACTTCAATAGAGACGCTTCAGAAAGCATGTGCTGAGTTTTTTTTATTAATTTTGCATCTTTTAATCAGCCCAAAACAAATTGGCTGAAAAAAAGCAGAAAATTATGCAAAACGCATCACAAATGTGCAAAAACGTGCCGCAAAAAGCACTGCAGAAACAGATCAAATGCAAACTGCATAGGTGTGAACCAGGCCTTAAAGTAGAAATGAAGGCAAATAAAGAAATACTCTATTGAGTAGATTTCCTTTTGCTTTATGTCCTATAACCAAAACAAGTGGAAAGCCCTCCAAAGAAAGGGAAATCCTTGGTAGTCACCAGAACTAATGTTTCAGTTGGAATATATCCATCTATTCCTGTTCTGGTGACCACTGAAAACTTTGGATTTACTTTCACTTTTGGTGATAAAGGTCACCAGGACAAGTAGAAAAGATGAATCTCCCTAACCAGGACCTGGACAGCAATAAAATGTGGCAAATGTTGTAATCCCTCCACGCTCTCTAAATTTAAAAAAACTTCAGTTTAATGAAATGCTGCTTTAATATAACATGCATATTATTGATGCATGTACAGGTATGTGAACATGAAAAAATAAACAATGACCTTCTTCTTTTTCTGTGCTGCCATCATAGAAATAAATATGTTGAGTGGTGACCTCTAATCGACCAGAAATCACATCCATTATAGTGATGAGTTCACACTCCTCGGACAGCACTGTTTTCTCCTTTTGACTCTGCTCTTCTTTCTCACTTCTAAATGAAAAGATATTTGATGTCAGTACATCTCACCTCAATATACAATTGAATTGTGTTACACTGGACAGATCACATCCTTGGTAATTATCCATGCTTACTATTCTCCCACAGACACTGACTGAGGAGCATTCATGGATATCTGTGATTCTGAAGATTGCGTTTTAGAATTATGGTGACAGGGATTTCATTTCAAAAGACTGTCAAAAACTCTGGATATGTTAAGCCTTTGACTGCAGACAGGTCAAACAGAAACAAAACTTGTATGAAAATAACAAAGGAACATGAGTGTGCATGCAGCATGTGAATTATATAAATTAACTTTAACCATACACTGTAGCTGTGTTGTCCTCCTCAGGAAGCTCAAGTCCATCATCTTCTAAGTCACTAACTTTCACCTGCTTTACTGCTTCCAGCAGAAGTGACTCACTTGATGGTTCTGCTTGCTGAACACCTGTATATATGAATAACTAAATATGAGTAACAATGTAAGTGAGGTCATATTGATCATTCACACTACCCTAGGCACATGTGTATGATGACACCCCTTTGTAAGTGTTTAGGGGAAAATACAACTATCATGTACAGACATTGGTTTTTATACAGTATGTCCAATTATTGGTCTGTACAGTCCACCAATGAAAAGTCTACAGAGAAAGGGGATAACAGATTGTAAATTGAAAACTTATGACTCTTCTCGGTAAGTCTCTGTAGCCACAGTTGTTTAGAGGTTTTAGACAAGACAAAAAAAAGGGGAAAAATGTAATACAATTGGAATATCTAGAGCATCATGGTAATTGTAGCCGTGTAAATGTCCATCAACATGATCTGATAATCTGTGGAACTCAACAACTTGTTAACATTAATACATATAGTAAATTAAATAACAATTATTCTACAGAAAGACAAGTGAAATCATTGTAGATACATACCCATTTAATGAATTCCCAGTCACCTAATGGGTACATATTGTCAAGTAGATCAATAAAATGCACTACTTTATTATTGCAAACTTACCCAGGTTATCACGCAAATTACTTGCTTCAGAATGGGGATCAAAATTAATGTTTTGGACCAATTTGAGCCTCATTCGTGAGTAATTCTCAACATTGGAAAGTTTCCAATGTTCCAAGTTGTCTTTCCTGTTAACAGAAAATATAGCACTTAGTAACAACAATTAAAATGATCCAATACCTTAAAATATGCTTGTCACTAAAATAAACAAGAAGAAAAGGCTTCTCTTATTTTTTTTTTTTTTAAGTACATATAGGGTAGGTGAGTACGGAAACAAATGATGATGATCATGTTGCAACCCTTTAAAGTTGGGGCACTAACAGTAAAAATAATTTTAAGAACTGCTCCTATCATATTCCACGGCAGTGACGTTAAAATATCAACCTAGTCTAATCAGAGAACACATTCAATTGTTGGAATAAATACAAGGGGTTCTGTAAATGTCACCTGTGCCAAGCAAATGACCCCCAAATTTCACTAAGCAGCAGGGCAGCCGCTCAACATGGGACCTGGAAAGCAATGGCAATCCCTGTAGTAGCAAAGATTACCACAATGATTTCTAGCTCTCAAAAGATCCAAAAGGTTTGGCATATGCATATTTACATTGGTCCAAGCTGGATCAATGTAACTATGCTATACAATCCATACCTGGATTTGAGCTTTAAGATTCTGCCAGAAATGGAGTTTAGACTGTGAGATTGAAAAGATTTAGAAATCAGCTATTCTGCAGTATCCTCCAGACAAAATGCCGGAGCCACATATCCTTACTGATAACTGCAATGGTTTGCAGATAATCATTGTGAATACTGCTTCTAGGCACCAAAGTTATGCATATTCGTTTTGTACAGATTTTCTTTCTTTTTTATGTATATTTGTTTAGGATCAAAAAAATAAAAAGTAAAAAAAATGCTTTGATCAAGAAAAAATGTGAAATACTGCAAATCATTTATAAAAAATGTGGAACCTGCAAGCTACTATGATGCCAAATAAATATTAAATTAACCAATAAAGTGTTGTGAAATGAAATAACAATTAAATTATAACAGTAGATCTCCTACACATCACACACACCCATACTAATGTGTTATAACAAATCAAAAATACAATAGTGTCACGCTCCACTGACAAGTGAATAAATAGTTCTAAAAGCATATATTAATATACCAAAAACATTTTTTGCATCCAAATACAGTATCACTTTTCCAAAACCAAGTGTCCATATTCAATCCATGACTTCACACTCTTTCTGGTGATGCAAACAAAACAATTTGTATTCAATTCACCACTATTACGTAGTTGTAACAACCATATGTGCACCTTCACCGGCTGTACTTTCACCTGGTAAATATGACCAGACCGTTAAGTGAGGTCTTATATGGCTTATGTCCCTTTAAATTGGATTTAGGACTAAATGGAATTGTCACTCTTCAAAGTTGGGGCTCCCCTCACTTCCTTAAGCCTCTTTCTCCATATCTTCTTTTAAAACATTTATCAAAAACATATAGTAGTGCACTCAAATTTAAATGCTGATAAAATCGCCTTAAAATTAATCCACAGTGTGTGTGTTAGCATTCAGTACTGTGTACTTGCTGTGTATTTCCTGTCTCCTTGACGTCAGAGCTCTGTGATACTGTATTTGGATGCAAAATTTTTTTGGATATTAATATTGCTTTTGGAACTATTTATTAACTTGTCAATGGAGCATGACACTATTATTGTATTTTTGAATGGCAAATCATTTGTTTCCTTTGAATAATGGTGAGAACATGTTTGAAGTCAGACAAATGTTTCTGCATAGAGAATAACACCTGTGGTTGTATGAATCTGGTAAAGAATATACTGGTAATTGCATAGTGACCAACCAAAGCTACATGCCACTGTTTCCTAAACCAGTCCTCAGGGACTGGTTACAGGTAATAATTTCCAGATCTCCTCACAGAATCACAGATGACATCATTAATGTGCTTCATACAGGCTGATGATCAAAGCTGTGTATGTTTTTGGAAGTTTACAAAACATCACCTGTGTGTGGTTACTGAGAGTCAAAAGTTGGGAAACACTATACAAATGGCATATGACTGACCTTTCTTTCCAGGGGCCACGTTCACAGGTAAGGTATCTTTGAGCAGCTTTCCACTGTCTTAAAGTAGCTGTACACTGACTGTTTATTTGTTTCAGCATATTGTTGTAGCGCAAGTTCTCTTGACGGGTCTTCCTGTTAAATGGCTCCAGGAAAAACTCCTGAGTAGTAAACAACAGCATTAAGGCAATCAGAAAAACCTTCACTATGATGCTGATATATAAAGTTCCATAACCAAAATCATTCTTAACACCTTTCTGTGACATATCCATGTACCTTTTTATCTGTATACAGATTTCCTGGCTTTGCTGCTGCACAGATGTGCTTGCTACAAGTCAAAACTCACTGCACTCTTATATTTTGCAAATATTAAAAATGATAGTTCAGAGTCCTTCTCACTGAAATCTCCAAGACCAAAGTACAAAAGTCTAGGTAATTCAATTCAGGATAATCTAGCAGAACTGAAATATCAGTTATGGGTGTACTGACTCTTTAACTACTTCAATACTGGGAATTTTTACCCCCTTTCTCTCCAGGCCAATTTTCAGCTTTCAGTGTGGTCGCACTTTGAATGACAATTGTGCGGTCATGCAATTCTGTACCCATAAAACATTTTTACAATTTTTTTTCCACACAAATAGAGCTTTTGGTGGTATTTAATCATCAATGAGTTTTTTATATTTTTGATAACCCCGAAACTGTTGAAAAAAAACACGTTTTTCTTTGTTTCTGTTATAAAAGTTTGCAAATAAATAACATTTCTTCAAAAATTTAGGTCAAAATGTATTCTGCTACACTTCTTTTTTGTAAATACCCCAAATTAGTGTATATTATTTAGTCTGAAAGTTAAGAGTCCACAAACCATGGTATATACACTGTGTTCCAAATTATTATGCAAATTCTATTTAAGTGTCACAAAGATTAAATATTTTGTTTTTCAGTTTAACTCATGAATGCCATTGTGTGTCAGGGCTCTTTTGATCACTGAAAACAATCTCGGACACCTGTGATAATTAGATTGGCCGGTGAGCCCAATTTAGGAAAAACTACTAAAGGACGGTGTTCCACATTAATAAGCAGAGCACCATTTTCAAGCAATATGGGGAAGAAAAAGGATCTCTCTGCTGCCGAAAAGAGTGAAATAGTTCAATGCCTTGGACGAGGTATGAAAACATTAGATATTTCATGAAACTCAAGCGTGATCATCGCACTATTAAGAGATTTCTGGCTGATTCAGAGCACAGATGGGTTTCGTGCAGATAAAGGCACATTGAGGAAGATTTCTGCCAGATCCATGCACCGTATCAAGAGAGCAGCTGCTAAAATACCATTACATTGCAGCAAACAGATATTTAAAGCTGCTGGTGCCTCTGGAGTCCCACGGACATCAAGGTGTAGAGTCCTCCAGAGTCTTGCAACTGTGCATAAACCTTCTATTCGGCCACCAATAACCAATGCTCACAAGCAGAAACGGCTGCATTGGGCAGAAAAATACATGAAGACTAATTTTCAAACAGTCCTGTTCACTGATGAGTGCCGTTCAACCCTGGATGGTCCAAATGGATAGAGTAGTGGATGATTGGTGGACGGCCACCCTGTTGCAACAAGGCTGCGACGTCGGCAAGGCGGTGGTGGTCATGTTTTGGGCCGGAATCATGGGAACAGAGCTGGTCGGACCCTTTAGGGGCCCCAAAGGTGTAAAGATGACCTCTGCAAAGTATATGGAGTTTATGACTGACCACTCTCTTCCATGGTACAGAAGGAAGCAGTATGCTTTCCGTAATAAAATCATCTTTATGCATGACAATGCACCATCTCATGCTGCAAATAAATACCTCTGCATCAATGGCTCTTATGGGGATAAAAGGAGAGAAAGTCATGGTGTGGCCTCCATCCTCCCCTGACCTCAATCCTATTGAGAACCTTTGGAGCATCCTCAAGCAAAAGATCTATGAGGGCAGTTTACATCCAAACAGCAGCTCTGGAGGCTATTCTGACATCTTGCAAACAAATACAAGCAGAAACTGTCCAAAAACTCACAAGTTCAATGGATGCAAGACTTGTGAAGCTGCTATCAAATAAGGGGTCCTATGTATAAAATGTAACGTGACCTGTTAAAATGTTTAAAAAGTTAAAATGTTGTTAAAAGTTTGATTGAAATAGCTTTTGATTTCAGTAAATATGCTGCAAACACAACAAAAGACAATTTTCAGTTCTTTACAACCTATTTTGAAACTTACTGTGTGTAATAATTTGGAGCAGTGCATTGTAAGTTTTTTATGTTTAAAAAAAATACTGTTATCATTAGGAGGTTCAATAAAATTTGAATTGTACTCTTAATAGTTGATAACATGAGAATTATGCTGACTGTTATTTACATCAATTATTTAGGTAAATGAGAAAAATATCATTTGCATAATAATTTGGAACACGGTGTATATATCTGACAGACAATCGATCAATCCTGATGTACTGACGGCCCATCTCATTTCTTGAGGCCCAAAAATGCCAGGATAGTAAAAATACCCCACAAAATTACCCATTTTTGTAAAATAGAAAGTCCAAGGAATTTATTAAGAGGCATGGTTTTTGCAAAATGCAACTTCCCCATGCAAAGGTGCCACCTCATCCCTTTAAAACCGAACACATATTAACTACACAGGTTCTGTGGCTGATTAAGGTGGCAAGTAAACTCACTTAGTGCCTTAGCTGTATTAATTTAGCCTCAGAACCTCTGTAAATATTATGTGTTTCGTTTTAAAGGGATGAGATGGCAACCCTAATGCAAAGTGAACAATCTATTTGCCTTTAGTAAATCAACCCTAAAATGTTTTAGAGCTAGAAAGAAAATGAGGGACAAAAGTTGCTGTATCAAAGCTACCTGAAATTTGAGTTTGCTTTCACCACGCTCTCTTTCCCGCTTATGCATATTCATCATGTGCGCCTCATGACATTCTTTCCAGTAAAGTGCCATCTGCTCATGACTTTTGCTGAATGTATGCACTTCATATTGTTTCATGTATGGTATAATCTATTGAGAGAGAAAACAATCAGACTTCTGGAACATACAGTATGTTTAGCCTACAGGAGGTGGCCAGCAAGAACAAAGGTCATTCACAGCCTGTATCTGTTCTCTGTATACCCAGGGTGTCTGTTCTCTGTCATACCAGGGTGTCTGTAGCTGTTCTCTGTCATACGCAGGGTGTCTGTAGCTGTCATACGCAGGGTGTCTGTAGCTGTTCTCTGTCATACGCAGTGTGTCTGTCTGTTCTCTGTCATACGGGTGTGTACCTGTACCTGTGTCTGTACTGTCATGTGTGTCTGTACCTGTCATACGCAGTGTGTGTCTGTAGCTGTTCTCTGTCATACGCAGGGTGTCTGTAGCTGTTCTCTGTCATACGCAGTGTGTCTGTTCTCTGTCATACGCAGTGTGTGTAGCTGTTCTCTGTCATACGCAGTGTGTCTGTTCTCTGTCATACGCAGGGTGTCTGTACCTGTCATACGCAGGGTGTCTGTACTTGACCTCTGTCATACGCGCAGGGTGTCTGTACCTGTCATACGCAGTGTGTCTGGTGTTCTCTGTACGCAGGGTGTCTGTATACGCAGGGTGTCTGTACCTGTCATACGCAGGGTGTCTGTACCTGTCATACGCAGGGTGTCTGTACCTGTCATACGCAGGGTGTCTGTACCTGTCATACGCAGGGTGTCTGTACCTGTCATACGCAGGTGTCTGTCTGTACGCAGTGTGTCCTGTCATACGCAGGTGTCTGTACCTGTTCCTGTCATACGCAGGGTGTCTGTGTCTGTACCTGTTCTCTGTCATACGCAGGGTGTCTGTAGCTGTTCTCTGTCATACGCAGTGTGTCTGTAGCTGTTCTCTGTCATACGCAGTGTGTCTGTAGCTGTTCTCTGTCATACGCAGGTGTGTCTGTAGCTGTTCTCTGTCATACGCAGTGTGTCTGTACCTGTTCTCTGTCATACGCAGGGTGTCTGTACCTGTCATACGCAGGGTGTCTGTACTGTCATACGCTGTCATCTCGCAGGGTGTCTGTAGCTGTTCTCTGTCATACGCAGGGTGTCTGTAGCTGTTCTCTGTCATACGCAGTGTGTCTGTACCTGTTCTCTGTCATACGCACGGGGTGTGTCTGTACCTGACTGTCTCTGTCATACGCAGGGTGTCTGTACCTGTTCTCTGTCATACGCAGGGTGTCTGTACCTGTTCTCTGTCATACGCACGCAGGGGGTGTCTGTACCTGTTCTCTGTCACACGCAGGGTGTCTGTACCTGTTCTCTGTCATACACAGGGTGTCTGTACCTGTTCTCTGTCATACACAGGGTGTCTGTACCTGTTCTCTGTCATATCCAGGGTGTCTGTATTTCTTCTCTGTCATATCCAGTGTGTCTGTACCTGTTCTCTGTCATACACAGGGTGTCTGTATTTCTTCTCTGTCATATCCAGTGTGTCTGTGCCTGTTCTCTGTCATACACAGGGTGTCTGTATTTCTTCTCTGTCATACGCAGTGTGTCTGTGCCTTTTCTCTGTCATACGCAGGGTGTCTGTATCTGTTCCCTGTCATACGCAGGGTGTCTGTATCTGTTCCCTGTCATATGCAGGGTGTCGGTATCTGTTCTCTGTCATACGCAGGGTGTCTGTATCTGTTTTCGGTCATACGCAGGGTGTCTGTATCTGTTCTTGGTCATACGCAGGGTGTCTGTATGTGTTCTCGGTCATACGCAGGGTGTCTGTATCGGTTCTCTGTCATACACAGAGTGTCTGTACCTGTTCTGTGCCATACATGGTGTGTATCTACATATTCTCTGTTATACACAGCCTGAGGAAGTCAAGAAAGCAGTTAGGACAATGTTAGTATGCTAGTCATGTGTAAGACAGAGAATATGTTCAGAAATGCTTTGTATGATGTAAAGCAGGTACAGGTATATTTTGGGGAAATTAATAAGGCAAAGACATGCCCCACAGTGAGCACTTGCATCTCTGTACGCTAGGTCAAAGTTGGTCTTAATTACTGCCAGGTTCCTTATCTGTGAACTGGATGCAATTGTATATGAAACTTTAACAGCCATAGCAAGTGTTGGTTGTAAGAACTACTTGAATATGTTGCATGTATTGGTATGGTTACCAAAACTGGTGCAAATGCTTCCTTGCATTAGGTGCAGGCAGCTTTAAATAAAATTGGTAATGCTTTGTTGAATTCCTCAGATTAATACTTCACCTCATACATGGTGTGTGAGCCTGTTCTGTTATACACAGCGTCAGATGCAGCTTGACTACACATTCTGCAATATAAACATTCCAGTAAGAAAAGCAAAGTCAATAAAAATGCTTACATATTTATCTATAAAGATTCTCCATTCCTCAGAACTGCAATATTCCTGGAAATCTTCAAATAAGGAAGGGCTGCCATTAGTAATTGGAAGTGAAGGTAGATGGTGATCCATGAAAAGCAACTTAAAGATTTTAGACACCAAAGTCCTCGCAATGGGAACAAGGAATGAATATGTTTCTGATTTTTCTCGGATGGATTTGCTGAGAATCCCTTCCAGTTTCCCCAGCAAAAAACAAGCCTCTTCTTGGTTCTCAATCACTTTGGTCTGCAGTAAAGTATTCAGCTTTGCTGTGGCCATAGCACATACCTATGAAAAGACATTAAAATGTATTATGCGTTTGCTGTCACCATTTTATTAACTTAAAAAAATAATGTAGCAAACATGATATTTTTATTTACTAGTAAGTGAAACTAAAACAAATATTAAAAATTTCAGAATAGATCCAGTATACACATTACAAAAGTAACAAAATAGACATTAGGGTCAGTCTATTTATACATTTTCACACAATGTTCACCAAAGCTTAAGGCATTATTCTAATTGGATTCAAAAGGGAAAAATGTGTAAATTTGGGGAAGCTGGGGGACCCAGTTTGACATGCATGCACTAAAAGTCTGAGATCCAAGATCTAAAATATCTTATTTGAAATGTTCACTCATAAAAAGGTACCACAGAAAAGCCAATGGGTTTGGGGGCTCAGCTGATGTTTGAATTGGCAGTTAAATTACTGATGCTTCCAAAATCATCCATTAAATAACATAAACCAAGTCCTACTGTTCTAGCTTATACAAATAATAAGCTCTGAGCTCAAGCCATCCAAGCAAGTGCAAAAGGTTAACAAAATGTACCCCCAGTCTGGAAAGTGGGGGTGTATCTTCTTGCTGAGGAAAGCTTGTCTGAGGATTTAGCAGCCTTTAAGTGCCAGATATCGTGGGTGGATTGGGAGCCAAGTCGAGGGAGAAACAAAAGTGACAGTTTTTTAACAGTCAGAGAGAGGGAGAAGACTTTGCAGTCTGTTCTTTAGATTTCTTCCACTTTCGAATCCAAGAGGATATAGTAGCAGAGGAGACCGCCAGGCCTTTTCTTGGACTGCCTGTGAGCACAAAGAGAGAATCTGATCTCTGAAAGGAGGAGGATAGCTGACAGACACACATGAACTGCCTGGACCACATCCAAGGAGTGCAACTTAGGATGTGATGACTGTGGATACAAGAAAGGCAGGACAATGTCCTCATTCAAGCAAAAAACCAACACCACCTTTAGAAGAAAGGAAGTGCATGAATGGCAAAGCAACTTATCCTCGTGCAAGACCAGAGAGGGAGACTCACAGGATAAGGCCACCAATTACGCCCTTATCCTGCTGTGCGGAAGTGATGGCGACCAAGAAGAAGACACAACATACTGCCCATATTATAAACAGTGCTGTTTTCTTTTTCTGCTAATTGTCCTATTCCTGTAGGTGGCATTATGAACTCTATGGTCAAGAATCTATCACAAGTTACACTTGCATGACTTTTATTTATTTATTTATTTTTTATTTATATTATGATGCTATGCTTATATAAACTTATATATATGATTTGTATATCGCAATTATAAAAAAAAGTTTTTTGGATCCACTCAATTATATTGCACTTTTTATTTAAATAGTGAAGAGAGCAATAAGGATAACCTCTGTGGAAGTATATCATCAATATGCTCACTAGTTTTGGTTTGGTTTAAAACTACTATTAATTAGGTATACAAGGATTTAACGTTTTATCACTTTATTCACTGATTGCACCTTAATATATGGTAGTTTATGTTTATTTATTAGAGAGCTGTGTCCGTGTATAAAATATATATAATAAATAAATAAAACAGAAATTATTAGTAAACTGACACATACCAAAACTACAAAATCTGGCTTTGAATCCTTTAGTTTTGATTGGACAAGAGGAAACACAGTGGAAATGTATTGCTTCTTGTCTTCAGTGCAACAATCTAAAGTCTTTTGGTTATCACTAAAGCTTCCTTGTTATACTCACTGCACTCACTTCCTTGTTTATTTATCAGAAAGCTTGCTTGTTATACTCACTGTGAAACCTAAGGGGTTAATCCTCTGCATTGTGTAAAAAGGCTGTTTGATTCTGTCTCCTCTGATCCTCCCTTTCTTCCAGTGTCCCCCTCTTATCTCCTGATAAGACATATGTGTGGAATTACTCTGCACATGCTCACCTTTTGGTGTTTATTGCTAGAGAGGTTTTTTTTTTCTTGGGAGAATGCATGTGATCAGTACAGGGCCAATCAGCACTGTCCAGACAGAGGTCAGGGGTCCTGCATCCTCCTAGAGGAGAATGAAAACTCCTCCTGTAGGTGGCATTATGAACTCTAATGGTCAAGAATTAGTTTAAAGAGCTGTGTCCGTAAATGAACACAACAGAAATTATTAGTAATCTCCTGAAAGATTGGACAGTAGAGGAATCACAGTGGACAGAGGTCATTGCTTCCTGCTCCTTCTAAAGGAGGAGTGAAAACTCCTCCTTAAAAGCTTTGGCTGGACACTGATAGAAGTCACAAGACTGCTATATACAGGTGAAACTCAAAAAATTTGAATATCGTGCAAAAGTTCATTTATTTCAGTAATGCAACTTAAAAGGTGAAACTAATATATGAGATAGACTCATTACATGCAAAGCAAGATAGTTCAAGCCGTGATTTGTCATAATTGTGATGATTATGGCTTACAGCTCATGAAAACCCCAAATTCACAATCTCAGAAAATTAGAATACTACATGCAATCAATAAAACAAGGATTGTACATAGAACAATATCGGACCTCTGAAAAGTATAAGCATGTATATATACTCAGTACTTGGTTTGGGCCCCTTTTGCAGCAATTACTGCCTCAATGCGGCGTGGCATGGAAGCTATCATTATGTGGCACTGCTGAGGTGTTATGGAAGACCAGGAAGCTTCAATAGCGGCTTTCAGCTCTTCTGCATTGTTCGGTCTCATGTCTCTCATCTTTCTCTTGGCAATGCCCCATAGATTCTCTATGGGGTTCAGGTCAGGAGAGTTTGCTGGCCAATCAAACACAGTAATCCCACTGTCATTGAACCAGGTTTTGGTGCTTTAGGCAGTGTGAGCAGGTGCCAAGTCCTGCTGGAAAATGAAGTCAGCATCCCTATAAAGCTCGTCTGTGGAAGGAAGCATGAAGTGTTCCAAAATCTCCTGGTAGACGGCTGCGTTGACCCTGGACTTAATGAAGCACAGTGGACCAACACCAGCAGATGACATGGCTCCCCAAATCAACACAGACTGTGGAAACTTCACACTGGACTTCAAGCATCTTGCAGTGTGTGCCTCTCCATTCTTCCTCCATACTCTGGGTCCTTGGTTTCCAAATGAGATGCAAAAGTTGCTCTCATCAGAAAAGAGGACTTTGGACCACTGAGCAACAGACCAGGTCTGTTTTTCTTTAGCCCAGGTAAGACACTTCTGACGTTGTTTGTTGTTTGGGAGCGGCTTGACAAGAGGAATACGACATTTGAAGCCCATGTCCGTCTGTGTGTGGTGGCTCTTGATGCACTGACTCCAGCCTTAGTCCACTCCTTGTGAAAGTCCCCAACACTTTTGAATAGCCTTTTCCTGACAATCCTCTCCAGGCTGCGGTCATCCCTGCTGCTTGTGCACCTTTTTCTTCCACACAACTTTCTATTAATGTGCTTTGATACAGCACTTTGGGAACATCCAACTTCTTTTGCAATTACCTTTTGAGGCTTTCCTTCCTTATGGAGGGTATGAATGATGGTTTTCTGCACAACTGTCAGGTCAGCAGTCTTTCCCATGATTGTGATTCCTACTGAACCAGACTGAGAGACCATTTAAAGGCTCAGGAACCCTTTGCAGGTATTATGGCTTAATTAGCTGATTAGAGTGGGACACTTTAAGCCTAGAATATTGCACCTTTTCACAATATTCTAATTCTCTGAGATTGTGGATTTGGGGTTTTCATGAGCTGTAAGCCATAATCATCACAATTATGACAAATCACAGCTTGAACTATCTTGCTTTGCATGTAATGAGTCTATCTCATATATTAGTTTCACCTTTTAAGTTGCATTACTGAAATAAATGAACTTTTGCACGATATTCTAATTTTTTGAGTTTCACCTGTATTGCTGATGAGAAAAGGTATTTAGCAGTTTATATTTACTAAAATAATTCCACTTCCATGTCCTGTGTACTGTGGGAGACCTGATAGAGAGAATGCAGGGTCCTGGGTTTAGTAACACTTTAATAATGGGTACACATTGACCAGGGGAAAGGGGAAAATGATTTTTGTTAGCTGGAGATCTGCTTTCATCTTTGCATGTTCTACAGACCAATATTTCATGTAACTCATCAAACCTTTTCAAAAATTTCTATGATTCCTATTCAAAAAGTATGTATGTGGAAAATAGTTTAGTTCAACCAACCTGTATATTATCCCGAGCAATGAAGCCAAGCAGAAGACGGAACTCTACTTGGGAAAGAGTCTCTGATTCAAGCCCAGTTGGGTACCACACTGACAGGCTATCCATGAGAGTCATTATCTCTTCCAACAGCTGTAAAAGACAAAACGTGAACGAAAAAGGTCACTTTGTCTGGAATACATTAAAAATAAAAAATTTGCCTATTTAAAGCAAAAATATTACAGACCTTCTCTGTCCACAAAGAGGGGTTTACATAGCCCTCAGACTGCAAGAAGTCTTGCACAATATGCAATAATCTGTTAGCATTTTCAGCATGAATTTGAGATTTGAGGTCTCTGTTTTCAGTTACAGCCCATTCTGGCATCTTCTCCAGTAAACTGTACATAAAGGTAGGAAGCAAACACAAAATATGTTACATAAGGACAAATCACACAAGCCAATGGGAACTAAACTTCTGAATTATACGGCTAATTGTTATTGTGAAGCAAAACACCTGTATTAGTAGTTTCTGTCGGACGCACAAATTTCCAAAATCAAAAACCACATACTAGATGCTGCTCAGAGACTATTCACTATGAAGCTAAGCAGGTTAAGATTTGTTGATTTAGAACTTTTATGTAATTAAGAGTTGGGAATTGGCTTTTCTATCAGAGAATTTTCACTGAAGCGCTAAACTTCATGACAGATTTGCATAATTTCATTCTTTAAAAGAGAAGTATGGGAAGAGTTTTTTTTTTTTTTTTTTTTAAATCATACTTACCTAGGTGGATACAGCATTGATCCGATGCTGTATCTGTCCCCCGCTGTCTCTAAGGGTGAGAAATGAGCGATCAGACTGTCGGTCACTGCTCTCTGTTCTACACCTCAGCACTCGCAGGGGCACTGGGATGTGGGGGGGGGGGGGGTTGAGCAGCAGCTGGCTCAGGTTCTCAGAGGCTCGCTGAGAGGCTGAGCCAGGTGCCGGCCCAGGCCTCTTGGTGGATCCCAACTTTAAGGTTGGGATCCTTCCACAGCCTGGACTGGCTGGCTGAAAATAGGTTTTAGGAGTGAAGCATGAACTGCACTCCTGTGATCCACAGAAGAAGTACAGCCAAATGAGCTTTGCAAACAACCTATTTACCAAAGCAAACAACCTATTTACCAAAGGACATACGTTTCTATGCAGTGAGACATATCCCTATAACATTATCAGAATTTAAGACCCTATGGCTCTGCATCACCCAAATCACTGGTTTTAAACCCAATGCCACAGATCAGATAAACTGTATTGCCAAAAGTATTTGGACACCCTCCAAATCATTGGATTCAGGTGTTCCAATCACTTCCATGGCCACAGGTGTATAAAGTCAATCACCTAGACATGCAGACTAAAAGTGATAAATAATAGTGCAACAACAGCAATGAATGTATGTAAATGATTCCCCCAACCTGGGGGATCAAATAAATGTGAACAATAAGATCCCTATAGAAAACACAGTGCAAGTGTACAAAACCACACTCAGTGAAAAATTAAATAAATGTCCATGGTGCGCTACACCATTTTATTTATTTATTTAATTACACTTTGTGGTTGAAGGAAGGTGTTTAGCAGCTTAGGGTAGGGATTCTCCATTTAAGCGCAGGGGATTGTTCTCACCATAGACATGCAGACTGCTTCTACATACATTTGTGAAAGAATGGCTCACTCTCAGGAGCTCAGTGAATTCAAGCGTGGTACCGTGATAGGTTGCCACCTGTGCAATAAGTCCATCCGTGACATTTCTTTCCTACTAAATATTCCACAGTCAACTGTTAGTGGTATTATAACAAAGTGGAAGAAACTGGGAACAACAGCAACTCAGACACGAAGTGGTAGGCCACGTAAAATGACAGAGCGGGGTCAGCGCATGCTGAAGCGCACAGTGCGTAGAAATCGACAACTGTCTGCAGAGTCAATAGTTAAAGACCTCCAAACTTCGTGTCTCCGTCAGATTAGCACAACAACAGTGCATAGAGAGCTACATAGAATGGGTTTCCATGGCCAAGCAGCTGCATCCAAGCCTTACATCACCAAGTGCAATGCAAAGCATTGGATTTAATGGTGTTGAGCACATCGCCTCAGGACTCGTGGAGATGCGTTCTCTGGAGTGATAAATCATGTTTCTCTGTCTGGCAATCCGATGGACGTGTCTGGGTTTGGCGGTTGCCAGGAGAATGGTACTTGCCTGACTACACTGTACCAAGTGTAAAGTTTGGTGGAGGGGGATTATGGTGTGGGGTTGTTTTTCAGGAGTTGGGCTTGGCCCCTTAGTTCCAGTGAAGGGAACTCTTGAGGTGTCAGTATACCAAGACATTTTGGACAATTTCATGCTCCCAACTTTGTGGGAACGGTTTGGGGATTGCCCCTTCCTGTTTCATCATGACTGCGCACCAGTGCACAAAGCAAGGTCCATAAAGACATAGATGAGCGAGTTTGGGGTGGAAGAACTTGACTGGCCTGCACAGAGTCCTGACCTCAACCCAATAGAATACCTTTGGGATGAATTAGAGTGGAGACTGTGAGCCAGGACTTCTTGTCCGACATCAGTACCTGACCTCATAAATGTGCTTCTGGAAGGACAGTCAAACATTCCCATAGACACACTAATAAACCTTGTGGACAGCCTTCTCAAAAAGAGTTGAAGCTGTTATAGCTGCAAAGGGTGGGCCAACTCAATATTGAACCCTACAGTCTAAGACTGGTATGCCATTAAAGTTCATGTGCTAGTAAAGGCAGGCATCAGAGAAATACAGATGCTGCCTTTGTTAAGGTCTCCTAAATATTCCAGTTGTCTGGCTGTCATGCTGACCCTTTGGCTACAAAACTTTGAATGAATTTCCGTATCCTATATGCAGATCAGGCCTGCTGACTTTCTTGATCTACATATTTGCTCCAGGCCAACAGCCAGTCAAGTAGTTTTCTAAAGAATGTCAGCAATGGAAGTCTCTATTTCTCTCATGGTACACATACATATACATTGAATCAATCCTATACTCCAGAGCTTTACACCCCGCCAACACCCCAGCTTTTGTCAATGTCTTGTTCTTACCAAGTTTTGCACAAAGTTGTGCTTTCAATACACAAAAAAAAGCTCTCTGTGCCCTCTAATTCTCAGGAATTATTAAAATAATGTGGACAATGTACATACTTCAGCTTGATTTCATCTGAAGGCCGTAGCAGTTCATTAGCCATCCCAAGGTTGGTGAGTGCCGAGAATACTTGTCCTCGTCCAATCCACGTCATATTGTCAGATTTGTCAAGGCCTTTCCACATCAGGCAGAGCAGAATATCTGTAAGCAGCTGAACAAGCTCCTCTTCACAGTCCTGCAAAGGGTGAAAAGGACTTCTATGTTGATATTGGGTGGTTTACAAAGAGAGACCTGTTTTTATTTCACCTGATGCTGCAAATGAGCGTTCCAATACTTGGCCCCATTGATCATTTGTTTCAAGTAATACATGTTCTATAGCCCGGCACAAAAGTATAGAGTAATGCACGTAATGAACATTTTCAGCACTACCATGTTATAATATTCTTGTGTATGAAGCTCAACATGTTTGTGGAACAGAAGCTTTTGGGTGACTTTTGTTGTGTGATATTCTAGGAATCAGTGTTCATAAGACATAGATGCGCAGATATAACTCGGCACCCATAATGAAGATCCCTTGACATGCACTGATATACACCATACAGGGATAAAGAGGAATATTATCACAGGCTCTGATTACTTGTGACAGAACTTCAGATTTACAGTGTGTGGTTTTCTTAAAGTGTAAGATAAAGACACTGCATGATTTCCAATTATTTTCAAAGCAGATCTTAAATGAAAGTGCAGGAGAACATTCTCATGTGATAAAGGACCCTCAGCTTTCCCTAAATTCTGCAAGAAAGCGAAGTGACCTCACCCTTGTCTAACACACCAGAATCTAGGTGTAAGGGCATTTTTTTAAAATTATTATTATTTTTAGGTTTAATATTTAGGAGGGGGGGGGACGGGACTAAGAAATAAGCAGAACTTACAATGTAATGCAAAGGCCGTCTATAATAAGGGAAGGCACAGGCCACAATTTATTCTGTTTATTTAGGATACTAGCTAATTGGCATACCCTCCCAGCTTCAAAAACTGAGATAAAATGTAAATGGGCTAAATTTGGATATCTAAATCATTCCACAATAGGAAAAGATACAAGAGTTATTATGTTGATTTTTTTTTCTCACCATATCTTCTGCCACAGTAATACCTTCATATATTTAAATGTTTTTCTTATGTATCCACACATGATTTTTATGGACTTTTAGGGGTAGATTTACTAAAACTGGGGAGTGCAAGTTCTGGTGCAACTCTGCATAGAAACTAATCAGCTTCCAGTTGTTTTGTCAAAGCTTAAAGTGGTTATAAAGGCTCGAGGTTTTTTACCTTCATGCACGCTATGCATGAAGGTAAATAACCTTCTGTGTACTGCAGCTCCCCCAGCCCCCTCAATACTTACCTAAGCCTCAGTGCAATCCAGCGAAGTGAATGACAACCTCGGCTGCTACAGGTCTCTGCCTCCTCATTGGCTGAGACAGCAAGCAGGAGCCATTGTCTCCCACTGCTGTCAATCACAGATAGTCAGCCAACGAGGAGGGGGGGGCAAGCCACAGCTCTGTGTGTGAATGGACACACAGAGCAACAGGTGCCCCCATAGCAAGCTGCTTGCTGTGGAGGCACTCAACAGACAGGAGGAGCCAGGACAGCCTGCAGGGGACCAGAGAAGAGGAGGATCCAGGCTGCTTTGTGCAAAACCACTACCCAGAGCAGCTAAGTATAGACATGGTTGTTATTTTACAAAAAAAGAAAATGAACCTTTGAATCGCTTTAAAGTGTTACTAATCCCACAACAGTAAAATCAGTCTGTATATGCAGTAAAGCATGCTTGTTATAGTCACTGTGGAATCTAAGGGGTCAATCCTCTGTATTGTGTAAAAAGGATGTTTGATCCTATCTTCTCTGTGATCCTGTCTTCTCTGATCCTCCTCTTCTACTACTGTCCCCTATCCATCTGCTGATAGAGCAGAGCATTTGGGGGCAAGCTGCACATGCTCAGTTTGGTGTGTATTACTAGAGTTTTTTTTTTTCTTGGGAGAGTGCATGTGATTAGCACAGAGCCAATCAGCGCTGTCCTGACAGAGAGTCAGGGTTATGCAGCCTTATAGAACAATCAGGGGCAAATTAAAACTCCTCCTAAAACTGATAGACACTGATAGAAGTCACAAGACTGCTCTAACTGCTGATGAGAAAAGGTATTTAGCAGTTTATATTTACTAAAATAATTGCATTTCCATGTTCTGTGTACTGTGGAGACCGGACATAGTGAATACAGGGTCCTGGGTTTAGTAACACTTTAACTGAACAAGCTGAAATTAAAAGCTAATAAAAAGCAAAGCTGTAAAATATACTGGTAGTGTCAGCTCTCCACACAACAGTGGAAGCAAGCAGGTTTAGACAATAAAGATAACAAGTCCATAAAAACACAATGCTGGATCAGTGAACAGTGGGGGATGTGGAACAGCTATAACACAAGGACTCCGGCAGCTCCTCGCCAAGGTCTGGAAAATGTCACAGGTACATGCAAAGAAACACAGCAGGGCACCAAAATAGTGTGAGTAAAGAAAGCAATACTTTATTACAGCTCACTTACATTGGGGTAGCCTGTGCACTGCTCCATTGTCAGAGTGGCATGCGGTGACAGCTCTCTTCAGACTGACAAAACCGACATCAGCTGCAGGGCATCAGGAGGGACCCGCTGAAGGGATGGCTTGGTGGTGTCTCCGCCCTCGCTCCAGGAGGCAGTGACAGTTGCTGTGACAGGTAGGCGGGCAACAATGCGTTCCCGAGGTTCCACCTCCTTCTTCAAACTCGAGCTTGACGCCCCCAAGCCATCCCATTAGCGGGACCCTCTTGATGCTCTGCAGCTGCTGTTGGCTTTGTCAGTCTGAAGAGAGCTGTCACCGCATGCCACCCTGTCACTGGAGCAGTACACAAGTTACCTCAATGTAAGTTTCGTTACTCACACTAATCAGGCACCTTGCTGCGTTTCTTTGAAGTTAAAAGCTGACTGGCTACCATGTACAGCTGCAGCAGATTTTGCACTCTCCAGTTTTAGTAAATCAACCCCTTAGTGTCTCAGATCTGCTCATCAGCCCTTATTGTAAAGCAGATTTAGTGCCCAACCATATCAGTACAATTTGGGAATTGAAATCGCACCTGAAATCGCATCTAATGAATGTGAATGTCAGTTTCTTAACCTGCAATTTGCTGCAGTGCGATTTCTAAAGTAGTTCTTTCATTATTGTTTCTGCAACTTTGTTGCGATTTAACATACGGTACATAGAATATAATGGAAATCGCACTGCTAACTGCAAAAAATCATTGAAAATCTTCACAAGTAGCAATAAAGTCTTCAGAAATCATTTTTAAATCGCAGCCGTGTGACCGGTGACTTACTGAAGTGCCAATGGTATTTGTACCATATACACAGTGCAACTATCACACAAACTGAAACTGCTGTTAATAAAACATTGTCAAATAATATCTGTGGATACCTTGAAATAAAAGCAGGGTCTCTAGTAGACCAGCACACAGATGGATGTTTTAAAAGCCATTTTATACATGACTGCAATATTCCTGCAGTAACTTTGAGCACATACATCAATTTCTGATTCTATTGCGGCTGACAGGAACACTCTCCCCAGATGTATAGTACATCAAGGAATCTTTCAGCACCCTGCAGAAAGGTGGTGAGACAAAAGCCTTGGTGAACATTTTCTGCTCTTTCATACATAGGAGTCAGTGTTACAACAGTTGTAGAACATGCTGTAAAACACCCATGTGGCTTCTGTAAACAAGACATTTTCATTTTCTGGTTTACACATTAATCACAGTTTTGTAATAGCCTTACAATTATGCCTCACCTCTTTGCTTTCTAGGTTCACAGTGAGGGAGAGGTCATCCCTGAAAAGTATATTAGTAGAATTGATAGACTCTTTGTCCATTCGATCAGTAGGAAAGGATTTAGAAGACTCTATTGGTGAAGGAGTACTGGTTTGGCTTCCAGGTGTTGGATTGTTAGTGTCCCCCAGGTCAAAAGAAGCCAGTTCCAGTGTTAGATGGAAATGATCACTGGGCCACATGTCTGGGTCTTCCATCCTAAGCTGAGCCTCACTGAAAGAAGTGTCATCGCCATCCACCAGTGTGCAAGTAGACTGGATACTTGAACTCAAGGACCTCGATTCTTCAGAGCACCAGCTGTGATTAGTATTATTTGATATTATATTATCTGTTTTATCCACAGTAGCCCTTCCTGAATAACTTCTCTGAGACTCCTCAGTTGTGCTGTTTTTATCTTCCTCTTTAATACTTTCACTACAGTTCACTTTAGAATTGCTCTTAAAGTCTGCATTTTCCTTCAGGAAGAATCTAATAAAAGTGTCTTGCCAGCCAACTTGTTGGGCAATCTGAGAAGCTGCATCGGGTTGGAACTGTAGGAGCTGCAAAACCTACACAAAAGAAAAGAAAAAAAAAACAGAGCAATTAAATAATTAAGGATAGCTGCTACATGCTTTATCAGCTTGCAACCATACTATTCAACTATTTTGCCCCAAACCCAGTAACTTTTGCCAGAAAGGTCGGTCTGCATGTAAATGTGGAGAAAGATTAAAAAAAATTGGGAGGATGGGAGGTCAGCAGAGCAGTGTACAGGACGTCACCAGGACAGAGACTAGGGACATCACTTTGTAGGGCAGGGAACAGAGGCCATTAACTTGTAGATCAGTGTACAGGAGTCCACAAGGCAAAGAACAGGGGTCAGCAAGAAGGAAGACAGAGGTCACTGCTGGTAGGGCAGAAGATAGGAGTCACTTCTGGCAAGGCATAGGTAGGAGTCACTGCTGGCAAGGCAAAAGGCAGAGGTCAGGGGTCACTTCTGGCAGGGCAGAGGACAAGGGTCACTGTAGGGAGAACTCAGCAGAGGTTAGGGGTCACTGATGGCAGGGTACTCAGCAGAACTCCTTTTCCTATCCCTGCACTGCACACAGGCTGGGCACAGGCAGCAAATCTTCTCCTTGCCACACATTACATATAGCTGAGATTGGATTCCCTTACACACAACCTTGATCTGCACAGTGTGTCGCTGGCTTCTGCAGCTGCACTACAATTCTGACCGTGGAATTTCACAGGTCAGAGCTGCAACATAGTAGCCAGCTACACACTGTACAAATTGTGGTTGTATGTAAGGGAATCTGATTTCAGCTATGTGCTGTGTGGGGAGCAGGAGGTCTGCTGCCTTTGCCCAGGCTGTGTGCAGTGCAGAGATAAGAGAAGTAGTTCAGCATAGTTGCCAACATTTTAAAAACATTTCCCGGGTCACCTTTTTTTCTCTATGCAACCAGAAAGACACTGTAGATGAAGAACGTACTTAAATTAGAGATGGGGCATTCATTTAAAACAGGGGGTGTTTTTAAAGCAGCATATCACTAACCTAATGCCTTACTTTAATCACACATATATGAGAGAGATGTGGTTATGCTAGTTCAGCATAGTGGCAGGCTAGAGCAGTGTAATGGCAGTATAGTGGCAGATTGGGGCAGTATAATGGCAGGCTACGGCAGTATAGTGGCGGGTTAGAGCAGTGTAGTGGCAGGCTAGAGCAGTATAGTGGAAGGTTGGGGCAGTATAGTGGCAGGTTTGGGAAGTATTGTGGCAGATTAGAGAAGTATAGTGGCAATCTAGGACAGTATAGTGGCAGGTTAGAGCAATATAGTGGAAGGCTGGGGCAGTATGGTGACAGGCTTGGGCAGCATGGTGGCAGGCTGGGGCTGTATGGTGGCAGGCTGGGGCTGTATGGTGGCAGGCTGGGGCAGTGTAGTGGAAGGCTGGGGAAGTGTAGTGGAAGGTTGGGGAAGTGTAGTGGAAGGCTGGGGCAGTGTAGTGGAAGGCTGGGGCAGTGTAGTGGAAGGCTGGGGCAGTGTAGTGGAAGGCTGGGGCAGTGTAGTGGCAGGCTGGGGCAGTGTAGTGGCAGGCTAGGGCAGTGTAGTGGCAGGCTGGAGCTGGAGCAGTATGGTGGCAGGCTGGAACAATATATGGGGCAATGTAATGTCAGGCTGGGGCAGGCAGTTGGGGCAGTGTAGTGCAGGTTGGGGCAGTGTAGTGGCAGGTTGGGGCAGTGTAGTGGCAGGTTGGGGCAGTGTAGTGGCAGGCTGGGGAAGTATGGTGGCAGGCTGGGGAAGTATGGTGGCAGGCTGGTGGCAGGCTGGGGCAGTATGGTGGCAGGCTGGGGCAGTGATGGTGGAAGGCTGGGGCAGTGAAGTGGAAGGCTGGGGCAGTGAAGTGGAAGGCTGGGGCAGTGAAGTGGAAGGCTGGGGCAGTGAAATGGAAGGCTGGGGCAGTGAAATGGAAGGCTGGGGCAGTGAAGTGGAAGGCTGGGGCAGTGAAGTGGAAGGCTGGGGCAGGTTGAAGACTTCCCGGGGCTTGGCTGCTGTATCCACTTCTCTTCCTGAGTTAAAGTGTCTGTGGGAAGAGTGGAGGAGGTAGCCACACCTCCGGCCCCGCCCAGAAACACAGTGAAGATAACCGATGGATAACCTGTATTAGATGACAGGGGAGAGGTACAGGCAACCTCTCCCACCCCGCTGCTTCCCCCCCTGACCTGATGATAAACTGGCCAGTACTGTACATCTACTATGTGTACAAAGCTGCAGGGGGGAAAGTGCAGCTGTGTGAAGTATGGTTCAGCAGACAAGTACAGTGTCCAGCAGTTAGCTTGGGGATGGAGCAACATAAATGAGTACACCCTTTTGAAAAAGTAAGATTTTAATCAATACCTCAATGAAGACAAGAATAATTTCCACAAATTCGACAAAACTGAGTTTTATAGAGCATTTGTTTAGCTCATTACATGAAAATAAGGTTAATAATATAACTTAGAATACAAAAAGTTCAGTTTTACTCAAATTAGTTGATTCATTTTTTGCAACATGGTCTTGAATGAATTTGTTAGGAAAGATACTTTTTTGTGTGTGCAAAACAACAAATCTTGTTTGCAATCAATGGTCCAAATTTGTGGTAGTATTTGTAGTAGTGTTCTGACAAATCTGTTTGGGGTGTACTCATTTATGCTGAGCAATATATATATATAATGTTTAATATAAATAGCAAGCCTAGGAAGCCATTTGCTATGTAGGCACACAGTGTCTGAGTGCACCCGAGCTCCAGATATTTACACTTCCTCTTCACTGCATTTGATTGGCAGTAGCAGCGAGTGCTGTGTGAAGAGGGATAGAGGCAAGAATAGATGCAGCTGTGCACAGTGTTGGATCTATTCTCCCCTCTCTTCCCCTTCACACGTGGAGGGGGGGGGGGGGGGGGGGGGGGGGGTTAGAGAAATAGAAAATGTTTTTTTGCTTTAGTATAACTTTAAATTCATTTTTTTTAAATTGATTGGACATGAGTTAGCAAGGCACACATCTCTCTATAAAAGGCCTCACAGCTGACAATGCAAACTGTATAAGAGCAAAAACCATTAGGACAAAGGAACTGCTTGCAGAGCTCAGAGACAGGATTACTGTAAAGCACAGATCTGGAGAAAAAAAATTTTGCTGCACTGATAGTTTCCAAGAACACAGCGACCTCCATAATTCTCAAATAGAAGAATTTTGGCACAACCAGGACTCTTCCAAGAGCTGGTCACCTGGCCAAAGTGAGCAATCGGGGGGGAAAATGGCCTTAGTAAAACAAGGGATGAGGAACCTGATGGTAACTCATGTAACCATCACTGCAGCCTCCATTGATCTGGGCTTTATGGCAGAATGACTAGACAGAAGCCTCTCCTCAGTGCAAAAACACATAAAAGCCTGCTTGGAGTCTTGGAGTTAGCGAAAAAGCATCTGAACAGCCCCCCCAGACAGTGAGAAACAAGATTCTCTGATATAATGAAGCTAAAATTGAATTATTTGACCTCAATTCTAAACATTATGGCTGGAGGAAACCAGGCACTGCTCTTCGCTGCCCAGTACTATGCCAACAGTGAAGCATGGTGGTGACAGCATCATGCTGTGGGGGTGTTTTTCAGCAGCAGAGACTGGGAGACTGGTCAGGGTTGAGGGAAAGCTGAATGGAGCAAAGTACACAGATATCGTCAATGAAAAGCTGTTCCACAGCGCTCAGGACCACAGACTGGGCCAAAGGTTCACCGTCCAACATGACAACGATCCTATGTACTGTACTGTGAGGAAGCCATGATTGCCACCCATGTCTGCATTTTTTCCTCTCCACTAAATAGGTAAGGGGGAGTGATGGAATTAGTTGTTTATTCAGTATATATAACATTGTTTTTGCTTCCAATTCATAGACGTGAGTTGCAATATCTACCGACATTTTCTGTATTTGCTGAAAAACTAAAACGAATGCAGCCACCACATCTAATGACTGACAAGCTGCAATTTATGACATTGTTTAGTCATATAAATGTGAATGGTCATACAATTTGTATTAAAATAAACCTTTCTACTTACCTTTCTACAGATGGCCACGCGTACAGACAGGTCAGATTTGTGGGACATATGCACGACTGCTAACAAATCTTTATAGTTTACAACTAGGTCTGCAAGTCAGGAAAAAAAAAAATAACAAAAATTACCAAAGCCAAAGTTTTTATATCTGCATGAAAAAAATAATTTAATAATGTTTTGGTGTATTTAAAGGAGCAAGGGCCTGTAACATGCCAAATGCAATGAAAGACAGCAGTTCAACACAATGCTGATTGCTAAGCTCCTGACCAATGACCTCAAAGCCTATAATAGGGATAGATTAAGTTTTCCCACCTGGTAACAATTTATTTATATTACAGAGATAAAAAATTACTTGTCTATAATACCTGAATAACAATAAAGTATAGTGCAACAGACTTCTATATCTTATAAAAACATAAATATTAAATAATAATTGTTTAATATTTATTTTTTATATGAGATATTAGTCTGTTGCGCTACACTTTATTGATATTAATTTTGGTACAGGCGTTGTAAAGTCACTAACCGTGTTTTAGCAGCAACTATTTAGAGCACTATCATAGTATTTTAGGGTGTGTTGCACTGATAGAATAGGGGTTTAGATTTTGTCTTTAATAATACTTAACTTCACTTTTAAAAAGGCCACTAATTCTTTATTCCAACAGTGTGTAGACCAGTATCTTTGTGTGAATTGGTTTCCATAGAATAAATTGTTTTTGAAACTAACTGCAATTTTTATGTATGTAAAAACCCATTAAAGTTACCCTGGTATCTGAAAACATAGTACAGGGTCTACAATTAAAAAACAAAAAAAAACAAACAAAAAAAAAAACCGCAGGTTTGCATGTACGTAGCTTCATATTTCTTACTGAGTACACAAGGGACCCCCACATTCAGCAAGCCCAATTTTGCATTCCCAAATGTGACCCTTCAATTATATGTATGGCGTCAGGCATGCAAGGTTTAATTTTTGTGTGCTTATACAGGGTTTCTCAATATAAAAGAAAAACCACACCATCCTCACATGATGGTTATGAAAAAATATAATGGACATTTTAAGACAGATCTTAACAGCCCTAAAATTATTCAGCAAAGCACTATATAATAGGATTCTGACATACTGTAAAATCCTTTTCTTGGAGTACAATTAAGGACACAAGTTGGTAATTTAGGCACTCAGGGTTTTGCAGCTGCCTTCAGGACACTGGCCAATGCCACTTACTGTACATCATTGCTCTACATTCCTAACAAAACGTTAGTAGGGGTAAATCATCTGAACAGAGGGGAGGGACACAGAATACCTTTCTGTGTTCTAGAAAAAAAAACAATTTTATGGTATGTCAAAAAATTAAGGGACACCAGATGATAATTCAGGTACATGGTGAAGCTCAAACGTGTCCAACTGAGGGGTGGGCAAAATAGCAAACAAGCTAACATGCCAAAAGGAGACATGCCTTACAGAGACATGAACCTTACAACGAAAACTAGCATCCGATATGGCCTGAATATTCACTTTTTAAAACATGACAAGCATGAGCAGAAGACCAGGTGGTAGTCTTGCAGATCTGAGAAACAGATATCTGATGCTGAAAAGCCCATGAAGCACTAAACAAACCTAGCAGAGTTTGCTTTGACAGGGAATAGTAGAACCATATCCTCAGATCTGTAGGCTTACATGAGGAGCTGTTAAAGCCACCTAGTTTTAGTGGAGCGAAAAAACAGGCAGCTCCCTACGGAAATTGTCGAGAATGAAAAAAAAGGGAGTCGATTTGTCTAAAAGAGGCTGTACAGTAAGCCAGACTCAGACAAGGTGTACCACGTCCAGACGGGAAGGAAATCTCCCTAGGATTTCACAGAGCAAGATATAGAGGTGGGAGTATAGTGTTCTGGTTGTTAACCTCTGAAATTAAAAGTGAACAGAGCATATTCTTTGTTAGTGTGTACATGCCTCAACACCTAATTTGGTTTTGGCTGCTCTCTCCTTCCTCTGCTATTTGAATGAGTCCGGTCTGACAGCTTATATGGACACTAAGAAATCCAGAAAGATGCCCCCTTCCCCAGCACGTGATATACAGCCTGAGCATGTTTCCCTATGAGGCTCAGTAAAGAAAGGGGGGTCCTCAAATTCCCCAATTCTGGCCTCAGATTACACTCAGCTCTCCTCTCTGTGCAGTCTGTGACATCAGATCTCTGCCCCCTACCTTCTGAAGCTCAGAAATGCTGTTTATACTGTGCACTTTGAGTGGCTGCAAAGAAAAGAGGGCAAAGATAAATGGGTACAACTTATGTAGGAGGTTTTGTGGGTTTAAAACCACTTTGAGGAAAGAAAAACTGCCTTATGTTGAATAAAGGCATTAGGCCTTAAGACAATTCTTGAAGGCAGCAGCATAGCTCCATGTATTTTATTATCAAATTGTGTCCCTTAATGTACTATTTAATAATGTTTTGTTGAAAATCATGTTCTTTTTCTCTGTGCATACATGCCATAATTCTGTTCCATTAGCCTACATTTTCTAGGGAAGTCAAATGAATGGGCCTGTCATAATGAGGGCATTTTATAATATATCTGCTGTAGGATGTATCAATTAAAAAAATGACACATAAAAGCAAAGCAGAAAAACTTACCTGCCCTAAAGATCTGATTAAGAAGTCCTTTTATCAGTAATGTAGAGACATGGGCTTCATTTACTAGCAATCCTAGCCCTGAATATCCTACTTCTCTCAGCCGAATTCGTTGTTTGCTTTTCTCATACACCTTAATGCAATTCAGCATCTGTTCTAATATCTGCAAAGATAAAAGGTTTGAATAAAACCACACCTATGTATACACGCACACACAAATATATATTCTATCTATTATTATAGTGTTTATATAGAGCCAAAAAGCTTGCTCAGCACTGTACAATATAGTGGGGGACAGTACATGAGACAATACAGTAACAAAACAATATATGAGAGGTTCGAGGGCCCTACTCTTTCGAGCTTACAATCTATCTCCTATACTTACTGCAGTTCATTTTTAGTTTCAACCCTATATAAAGACTGCATGTTCACAACAATAGTTTCGGCTCATTAGTTTAGGATGGAGGAGTTTCAAATAAATTGTTTACTTTCAAAGGAAAATTAATAAAGAATAAAAATGAATGTTTTACTTGTAAAATATGGCTGCTGCATCAGATGGATTCTGTAGTAATTAAGGTGGTGGGTAGGATCAGAGTTTGTATTCCCTTTGCGTATTAGCACAGAAGTGTGTACCTTCTTCCCTTTACCCTGAGACTACACACAATGTGCACAGTGCCCAAGAGATTAGAGGTCTGACTGATCTCTACAAGTTGCACTGAAGAGTAGGTGATATCACCAGAGGGAGGAAGAAGTGAGCAGAGAGCCCAGAAACTCCAGGCTCAGATTCTATTCCTCTCTGCATGTCACTGCAAAGATGACAAGTGGGAACCGGGACAATGGAAGCAGTGGTAGAGTATGTAGCAGGCAGAAAGGGTCTTGGGCGTTTAGGGTCAGGGGTGCTAGAAGGCAAGTAGACTCAGAGTCAGGAGTGCATTGGTAAGGGTATTGGGTGGCAGGGAGGTTCAGAGTCAAAGGTGCAGGATGGCAGAAAAATGCAGTGTCAGCAGTGTAGGGCACGTATATGTGGTGTTGGTGTTTAGTGCCAGGGGTGCTGGGAAGTTCAGAGTTAGGAGTGCAGTGATAAGAGCACTGGGTAGCAGAGATTAATATTATTATACAGGATTTATATAGCGCCAACAGTTTGCTCAGAGCTTTACAAAATAGGATGCAGATTTCTATGGGTAATTCATAGACCAAAATGCATTCAGTTATTGACTTGAAAGCCTACAGAGAGGCTTCTCTGACTGAGCATCACCTGATATGGTGTAGGCTTCTGTACCACATAAAAAAAAAGGAATTTGTGAAAAGGAATTCACAGAAAAGCGGCTACATTATGAACAGAATGTGATACTCAGAAAAATTTCCAAAAATTATGCTTTATTACACATAAATATTTGACATATGGGCAATCGCCCTGGTTTACCATCACCTCAGTATGAGACAATACACACAGACCTAAAACCATATAAAATGACACCAAGACCGGTCTGGATAGATGTGCAACAAGGACAATGACCGCTATAGTCTAAAGTCCTTGCAGCACTGGCACATAGCTTGACACTTCCTAAAGGAGGTGTATACAAAAAATTATACCATAGGTATACAGTGTCACATGCTATATATATAGACATATGTCATAACCATATAGGTTATACCCCATATGGGGGGATTTTCCAAAAATTATACCAAGGGTATATCATATCACATGCATGCAGTACAGCGAGCACAGTAATCGTCAAAAGAGAGGCATAACCATAAGCCTATATTAGGCAATAGATGGATATCACATAAAAAATGCAGTACAATCCTATGCCGGCACATGTGGTTGGGGCCCATTAATCTATAATAAAAGTGACTGGTTATTAGGACTCTTAAAATGAAAAGAGCCCCGATTGTTGCCTTGATGGAGAAATAGATGCAAGTAGCAGAACACTGCTTTAAATGGTTTCTTCACCACGACATGTGGACTGCAAACCACTTTTTGTTGGAAACAAGATAAGGCCCAAAGGATCTTCCGCCTGTTGAAATATACGTGGTATGCCTTGTTTCTATGTGAAGCACCATAATGTCCCCATCCTGTAGTAAGACAAGCAATATGAGAATAGTCACTGTAAGAGCTTTTACTCTATGGTAGACGTTATTGTCATATAAATCGCATGGGACCTTTTATCTAATGTCCTGTAACAGTCCACTCACCACCTGTGCAATGGGTAATAGGAAAGGAAAATAAGTCCTTCATAAGTGCTGCCGTGTGGAACCAGGGAACCACCGCTTACATCAGCCGACATATCGCGGGTTCCGACCTCTCCATGGCGCCTGTACTGCCTGACTCATGGCATGTGAAAATGGCTACCTCCTTGTAGGTCGGCGTGCGTTCCACCTAGTGCGCATGACCGGAAGTGACGTATCTGACGTATGACGTCAACGCGTTTCGCCGATGGGCGTATCTCACTCAGCTTCGTCAGGACCAATGAGATTCCTGCATTTCAACTTCCTATTTATAGTGGGTTAAGACCCACCCACTTATGCAAAAAATTAACTTGCAGTTATTCTCAATGGGAGAAAAAAGGCTAAATACTTAGCACAGCCGCTGGTCATTATTAAATTAAATTAAATTAAATTAAAAAGACAGGCGACTGGATATATCAAAGAGAGGAAAGGCTTGACACTTCCAACAATGCAAAAAGAAATAAAAAATAATCAAATGAAAAATTACCACACATTCACCAGAAGATGGCAATATTAATGAAAGAGTCTCCAAACCTATTCAATAAGTCAAAGGTATCTAAGAACACAATAATAATTACCGCAAAACCGCCACAAGATGGCGATGTTAATTAACGAATCCCTCTATGGCGGGTGTCGGCAACCCGCGGCTCCGGAGCCGCATGCGGCTCTTTTTCACCTTTCCTGCGGCTCCGGAGCACACTGCCCACCAGGTGACAGGCAATAGGGTCGGCAAGCCGCGGCTCTTTTAATGTAGATCTTCTGTGTGCCGGGCGCCCGCTGGCAAACATTGGCTGTCAGGATGTAGGCGGGGCAGCCCGGATGTAGGCGGGGCAGCGTGACGAACTCCTCTCCTCTCACAGTCCGCCCTGAAGACCAGAACGGCGCGGGAACCCAGCGAGAGGAACGTGCGGAGCAAAGGTAAGTGAATTCACACAATATGGGGAATGAATTACTATGGGGGATGAATTACTATAGGGGGGATGAATTACTATAGGGGGGATGAATTACTATAGGGGGGATGAATTACTACTGGGGATGAATTACTACAGGGGGGATGAATTACTATATGGGGGATGAATTACTATAGGGGGGATGAATTACTATAGGGGGGGATGAATTACTATATGGGGGATGAATTACTATATGAGGGATGAATTACTATATGGGATGAATTACTATGGGGGATGAATTACTATGGGGGGATGAATTACTATGGGGGATGAATTACTATAGGGGGGATGAATTACTATATGGGGGATGAATTACTATAGGGGGGATGAATTACTATAGGGGGGATGAATTACTATGGGGGATGAATTACTACGGGGGATGAATTACTACGGGGGATGAATTACTATATGGGGGATGAATTACTATATGGGGGATGAATTACTATATGGGGGATGAATTACTATATGGGGGATGAATTACTATAGGGGGGATGAATTACTATAGGGGGGATGAATTACTATGGGGGATGAATTACTACGGGGGATGAATTACTATATGGGGGGATGAATTACTATAGGGGGGATGAATTACTATAGGGGGGATGAATTACTATGGGGGATGAATTACTATATGGGGGATGAATTACTATAGGGGGGATGAATTACTATAGGGGGGATGAATTACTATGGGGGGATGAATTACTATATGAGGGATGAATTACTATATGGGGGATGAATTACTATATGGGGGATGAATTACTATGGGGGATGAATTACTATGGGGGATGAATTACTATATGGGGGATGAATTACTATATGGGGGATGTATTTTCAGTTTTAAAAATGTTTCTCTCAAAATAAATTTCAATCGTGGTTTTGGCGAGATTTGGCTCAGTCGAAAAAAAAAAAGGTTGCCCACCACTGACCTAAGGCTATGATTGTGATTATGACGATACACTGTGGCCCTGATTAACCCTTTGCTTACTGGGCCCTTAAACCCCCTTCATGACCAGAGCGTTTTTTTGCAATATATGCAGTGTCGGATTTGTTTTAAATGTTGCAATGGTTTTGCGGCTCCCAGTCTTTTTTTCCCTCTCGGAAATGGGTCCAAGTGGCTCTTTATGTCTTAAAGGTTGCAGACCCCTGCTCTATGGGTTATTTTGCCAAAGATACCTAAACTTCAAATTAACCACTTATTAGTATACAATTATTTTCAAAGGAGAGGAGAATAGCTAGCTCAATAGTTAGTCCCTTCTCCACTTCTAAACTTATATTCAAATATGTACCATCAGGCTATTAGATACCTCCCCAAAAAAAGGAAGGTTTACCTTAATAATTTAACATATTGTCTAACCATTGACAGAAATGAAGAATTACCACAGATTGGCCATAACATGGCAATATGAGAGAATATATATCCATATAGATCTATTTATCCAAAAATACTTGGAGATCACATTCCACATTTAACCCCTTTGGGTACAAAGTATCAAGTTTATATATCCAATATTTCTCCTTTTTTAGCAATTCCCTATCAAAATCACCTCTCCTTTGAGGAAAGTGCAATGCATAGAAACCTTTCACTTTAGTGCCATCCAGTTTACCTCCATGATATTTAGCATAGTGTTGGGCAAGATTACTTTCAGGGTCATTAGATCTAATATCTCTAAAATGTTCACCTATTCGTACTTTAAGTTGTCTTTTGGTCTTACCAATATACATCTTTTTATAGGGACAGGTCAAAATGTATAATACTCTCACTGTAGAACAATTTATAAGACTTTGAATTTTATAATGAGTGCTATTTCTTGAATCATAGAAGGAATCTGTACGATCCACATATTTGCAAATTTGACATTTTCCACATTTAAACATCCCTTTAGTACGTGATTTTAACCATGTTGTCTGTTTTAACGGTTGGTAGTCAGAATGGATAAGGAGGTCACCAAGATTTGGTGCACTTCTTGCTACCATTTGGGGGCGC